GTGAGATGTTGATAAATAACCGTGATGGTGGCTATTCATGAGTGAAAAAACAAATGCTTTGAAAAATCGTAGTTTCGAATTTTGCTTTGCATTTTGTTTGTGATTTACTAGATTTGTTTCAACTAAACATGTCTGCAGGCTGTTTTATATCTCTTCAAATGCAAGTTAGATTTTGACATATCCAGTTTTATCACTAATTTTAGGCAAATATGTATGTACTTACTTTCTAGAATTGCCTGAACGCCATTTTTAAGCCTAAAGTTCTTTTACGCCTTTATATAATCCTTTTCATGAATGTGTTATTTATTTTTATAGTAATTGTTATCTTAACTCTTACCTTGCTAAGTAGAAAACAATTCAAAATTTCTCCTATCCTGTGCAAAACAGTTCAGTAGTTCCTCTTTTTATGTTTTCTTTTTATATTTCCCCTTTCCCTCCAGTATTACCATCTGCTTGTTTTCTCCCTGTTCCCAGTGGTACCCGCAGGGAAGTTTCCATCCACATTCTCTGCTGATGTATGCACGGCTGTGTTTATTTCTGGTGCTGTTGTCTTTCCCCATGTGTTAGGGACTTGGTTGGTTACACCGACTCCGGGTTCAGGTTTCCTGCTCACAGCGTTTACTCACAGCTACTTCAAACTTTTCTTAAGATGAGAGCTTAAATTACCAAATACAGATTCTTTCCCACTACAGATTGAAGAGTGGAAGAGAAGAGAGTGTGAAGGGAGAGAGAGCTACTGTGTTAAAAAATGTCCTACTACTTTTTTTTAAATTAATTTTTATTGGAATGTAGTTGATTTACAGTGTTGTGTTAGTTTCTGCTGTGCAGCAAAGTGAATCAGTTACACGTATACATAATATCCACTCTTTTTAAAATTCTGTTGCCATATAGGTCATTACAGAGTCTTGAGTAGAGTTCCCTGTGCTGTACAGCAGGTTCTTATTAGTTATCTGTTCTATGTATAGTAGTGTGTATATGTCAGTCCCAGTCTCCCAGTTCATCCCTCCCCCCGCTCTCCCCCTCAGTGGATGGACCTAGAGATGGTCATACTGAGTGAAATAAGTTAGACAGAGAAAGACAAATATCATATGATACGGCTTATATGTGGAATCTACAAAAATGGTGCAAGTGAACCTATTTACAAAACAGAGATAGAGTCACAGACATAGAAAACCAACTACTTTTAAAACCCGGTAGCACGACAGCCTCGTGCAGACTTGGCATCCCCCTGGCAGTGGTTCCTCAAGGCATTTTCCTAGCCTTGTGGCCTGGTTTACAATTGCACTGGCTTCTCTTGGAGCCCCTCGTGGATACTGAGGCTTACGTGGATCTGTACATTGCGAGTCTGGACCTTTCCTTGTAAGTCACAGAGTTTGCCTAAGTGACCGGGAGGACCTGGTCCTCTAGAGTCGATGTTTGATTGCAGCGAAGGTCTGGCCCGGGAGCTTCAGCAGGTGGATGACTCATCCTGCCCCTGACCATTGATGAAATTTGATCATGGGTGTAGACCTTTCTTCTCAAACCCAGATGTTGTTCGGCCTCCATCCTGAAGGGTAAGGATGGATCACCCTGGTAACTGCATCCTCCCTGGTGTAACTGCAGACGTTATTCTAATTCATAGGCACCTAATCCTCTTCAGATTTAACAGACATAACTGTTTCCATAGGTGTCACCGAGACTTGGAGATACGGTCAATGAGGCTTGGTTGGCCACTTCTGGAACTTCCAGCCAGGCCTTTGTTGCAGACATTGGCTGTGGATGAACAGGGTTTCCTTATCACTCAGGTGACCCCGTGTTTTATAAGGAAAATAATTTCCTGAAGCACAAAAGCCAATGAAAATTATTTTTACTTTAGGAATTTTATCACATCTTTATGAGAAGGAAACACTGCAGGTATGATCCCCACTTCACTGATCAAGGAAACCGAGGCCTGTGCTTTAAGGAGATGACTCAGCTTGGTACAAAGAACAACAACACAATTTGGGGCAATGGAGAGAGAGCTACGGGTCTGATATTTTATTTTGATTGAACTAGAGATGTCAGACCACACAGTAAATCTCAGTTCCAGGTGCCAAATTAATAGAAGTGGATGCATGGCACTGAATTTGCAAAATGAGAACAGGAAATTGACACAGAAAGTGAAAGATCACATAACTTATAAACCCAATAAGGAGATGCGAGATGCAAGAGGTAAATCACCAGGATGGTCCAAGGGGCGGTGATGAATATGCATGGCCACCCTCTGACACGGACACTTTGCATTAGGTGTTGCTGGCCTTGCGGCAGGTTAGAAATATGGCTGGGAGTGGGGAGTGGAGGGGAGGCTACAGCAATGTTTTTAAAAACGAAGGAAAATGACCCCAAATGTGAAATATTGGAATTAGTAGTTTTCGTCTTAGAGGATTTCTTTTCAGCCACAGCTCTCAAAAAGTCAAAGGACAGAGGAGAGAGGCAGAGAGAGAGATTTTTCTCTTTTTTTGTCTCCGTGCTGTATATTTTTTATATACATTTTGAGGGCAAAATGTCACACCCCAGATACAGCAAGGGCCAGGTATTATGGATACAGTAGCGTTTACACATACCCCACCTATTATGCAATTGAAGCTTCTCCTGACACAAGTTACTTACAAAATGGGATAAAATCTTAGGGTATTCAAGCAGATTTTCAAGTCTTGCTTTGCTCAACAAACACCAGTTTCAAAGTGTGCCGTCTTCCTGGGGCAGATTCAGGATCCAGAGCAATGACCAGGACGCGGCCCCTGCCCTCACGGGTCCACCGCCTAGTGTGAGTGGGTGGCACCTGGCTAAATGCACAGCCCTGCACGGAATCCCAGCCTGACTCTGTGCCAGGAACTGATGGAGGCAGGAAGACCTCCAGAGATGGCCGCAGCTGACCCAGTCCCCGTGGTGCTGGCTCCTGCCCTCGGGATGCCGGGGGACCCTGGCGCCCAGTCTCTGGCCATCTTCCCTTTTTGGCCATCCACCCCTCTGCCCCTGAAGCTTGAGTGCTCCCAGGAACCATCATTTTCAATTCTATTGACAAGTGGAACTCGCGTCTCAGCCCTGCCGTCACCCGTGGTCTGCAGACTCAGAGTCCCGCCAGCTCACATTCCCTTCCAGGTGCGCGCAGGTAACAAACTGAGCACGTGCCAAACTGACTCTCTTGTGTTTTACTCCCAAACTTGTTTCTCACTCTGTCTTCCCAAGTTCACACCGTTCACACTGTGAAAACGCACTTGACTCTTGGAGCTTCGAGTGTCTTAAACAGGCTGCTTCTGACCACGCCCATCTCACCGTCAGGACCATCCTAGTTCCACTGCCTCTCTGCCTTTTGTGTACCAACACCTCAGCAGCCTCTTAAAGTCCTCCCCGCCCCTTAGATTCAGTTCTCTACCTGCTGATCTGAAGGACATTCTTGTCAAATGCAAATCAAGTTCCTCCACCTTGTGGCACACAGCCTCCGAAGGCTGCGCACACCGCAGGCCTGCGTCCCCATGCTTTCCTGTGGCCCACAAGGCAGAGGTGCACACCCCCCGGCCTTGTGTCCTATACTTGAGAGTTTGCAAAGCTCCGAAGATCTGTGCTCTCATGTGCTCCTTCTAGCAACTCTGAATTGTGGGTGTTATTGTTATTTCACTATAGAAAACTGAAAGAAATACTCAGAATGTTGAGTGATTTTCCCCCGATCCCAAAGCTGGTGAAATTTGGATATGATCTTTACAAAAAAACCTGGTTGGTTAATCGTCTAGCCAGAGCTCTTTCTGTTGGGTGTGACGCACACAGGGTACGGTGACGACAAAGGCTGTACGAACTCCTGACCTCAGAAAAGCGTGACAGGAAAAATGCTGATTTAAACCTTGATAGGAAGATGGCTTCCCACACCTGGAGACCAGGGTTTGTTTCATACCCGCAGGGCACTGAGAGCTGGCCTTGCCCGCGTTCACCCCCGATATTGTGACCTCGTGGAAAGGGCTTACGTACGCTCTGTCTTGCCCAGGAATCAGCTGCAACACCCGCACTGGCATGGGCTTTGGGAAGAGACAGGGCGGAGACTGCTGGCTGCGGCATTTTTCTTTGTTTACAAACATCCTGCTGTCTCTGTGCGTACCTGTCAATAACTTCTCTTCCACCCTGGTGTCATCGTCCGTACCAGGATCCGATCCACCTCACTGGAGGAATTTACCTAAGCACCTGCCAGCCTGGTCCTGCAGCGGGTTGGCCCAGAGTCTCCCACGTCCGTAAATTTCTAGAAAACAAGCAAGGAGAGGGCAAACGAATGCTATGCTTTAGTCCACAGCGGGTTTGCTTTTCGGCTCTGACGTGAGCTCAGCTCCTCGCATGGGAGCCTCCATCCCTGAGCATCCTCTTCCCACCCGTGCACCGGCCAGCCCCCCAGGAGTATGCGGGGCATGGTGCAGCCCCTCCTGTTACCCCTGCCTGTGCCCAGGGCTCCAGACTCTATTCTCCCACACCCTCAGCTCTAATGAGGGAAACTTCCGAGGCTGAGAGTCCATCTGCATTGTCTATACATTTTGGGAGGTGCTTCCCCAGGGACCAGCTGGGGACGGCCAGCGGAGGCTGCGTGCCTGCATGGAGGTGAGCGCCCTGAGGGGCCTCGCAGCTCCACGGGCCCCGACTGCTCAGCTCACGTGTCTTATTCGCTGGAAATCCTTACCCCAGAGTGAAACAAGTAGCAACTGGATGAAAACCACTATTTCATGGAACCCACCTCCCCTTTGGGATGTGACCTTATAAACGAAATGAGAAAAGTTTATTTTGATTATGCTAAGAAAGAAGCCAGTTTCTTTTGGTTTGCCCAAATTTCCAGGGATATGACGCATTATATGCTAATACGAGTACTTAATCCTTGTCTACAAAATGCCGAACACCTGGACGAGAGGAGAAATTCAGTCAAAAACAGGTATTTCCAAATAGCTGGATGTTTGAGCTAAAGTAAGTCAAATAGCCAACTTTTTTTTTACTATCAACGTGTTTTTCAGACTTAAATTACATGCTTTGTACTTACTTGTGAGCTCTGACCATCAAAGCCTTTTTGAAAAATCTGAAAAATGAAGATGTGGCTCTGAAACCCAGCAGGAGCAGCTCTGCATGAGGTGAGGTTGGTTTTAGAGGATCCCGGTCAGCTCCCGGGCTGGGAGGACAGAGTAGCCAGGGAGGTGTGAACGGCTTGGTCACCAGCTTCACAAGCTTCCAACGGGTGCTGGATTACCCCTCCCGGTTCACTGGAACTCAGAAAGTGGCCTGAATTTATCTCATTTAATCAGCGAGGAAAAAGCATCTACAAAGACAGCCAAGTGGATGCGCAGAGGCTCAGGGGAGCGAAAGCCTTTGTTGTCCCAGAGATGGCGTTATCCTCTGTCACATGTACTAATTAATATGCAGGGAAAAGGCAGCGCTACAGTTGTCAAGAGGGGTTGTTATAAACAAGCCAGCCGCTGTGCCGGGTGATTTATAGTGGACAGAAATGCATGGTGCATGGTCTATGACTAACATTCATGGCATGGTGTCTCATTACATCATAAAATTTTATTGTATGGTTATTAATAGTTATATAAACTAAAACAGACATTTGACCTGACTTGTACACAGATTTGAAAAAGTAAAGAAACAAATCAGTTATTCTGATAGCGTTTGATCAAGAAGCACAGATTTTATTGCCATCAAATTGAAAGTTGATTTTTTGTTTTTGCTCAACTGCGAATTTTATTCTTTGTCTGTTTTAGGAAATGGATCAAAGCATCCATGAGAGCCAATTGCTGGTGCACTTTTTAAATCTGATATGTTAAATGTTCCCGTTCGTTTAATTGGCTGGTGGGACAAGAAAAATTAGGTGATAAAACTTTTTCTAATTTTGTTCCTTTATTGTTTTACTCCTATCTGTACACTGTGAGCAACTTTATAGTGATAGGTAACATACTTTTGTAAAATATATATATATTTTTTAAAATTGTAGCTAAGCATCTCTAAGAAATATTATTTATATATGCTATGTACTGAAATGAGCGACCTGAATATTTTGTCTTTGGGATTTTACGGGCATCCTTGACGTCCTGGCGCTTTCTCCTGTGGCAGGCTGGCTTTGGGGGCCAAGGCTGGTCATTCCCCGGCACGAGGGGGGTGGAGCGTGGGGCTGGCCAGCTGGGAGCTGCAGCCGTGGACTTTGGGCCAAAGAGGGAGACAGCTGAGCCCCTAGTGGCCTTCGGGTGCCCGCTTCCGTCCGGAAAGGAAGATTTATCCTGGCACCCATTCCGGCTTGACCTCGGGCAGCCGCCTCAGCCTCCGAAGCGCTGCCAGGCCCCGGGAACCCTCGGGGGAGCCCACACTGAGCCTGCGCCCCTCTTCACACGCACCGTCGGCTCTTATTTTCAAAGCGCATCCCGCTGCTGAGATGCACGGGCCCCAGCCTCCAGCCCGGCAGGTGCGCCGCTGGACCGGTCAGGGTCAGGGTCAGGGTCAGGGTCAGGGTGGAGGGCTCCTGGGGCTAGCTGGCCCTGCCCCGGCGGAGAAGGTCACTGATGCGAGTTCCTGGGGGCGCGGGAAGCCTCTCTCCTCCGGCGTGGGAAGACGTGCGGAGGCCCCCCAGACGGAAGCGGATCCCCGCGCCGCGTGCTGAGCCTTGCTTCCCAGTGTTAAGGGACATCGTCCGTTGCTGACGGTCTTCTTTCCCTTCACCAAGTCTTACGTTTCGGGAGAATGCTAGGAACCCACACCTGAGGTGGGACTCGCCCGTTACATGCTACAGATTAGGAATTTTATCAGTTTCGCAAAAAGTGCCCTCAGGAAAATGAGGCATTAAAAAAAAATCTAAAGGTGAAGTCAAGTTCACAGAAACATGCGTGTGAAAAATGTACGGCTGGGCCTATTATGTAAGACAATGCATTTCAACATGAAATTCCCGGAGGAGGCGTGGTGTCAGAAACTTGGTGCATCGTGTGCACCTCCGGGGACCAATCAGAGTAGAGGTGAATTGTTAGGGAGAAAAAGACAAGTTAACTGTAATGGTAGAAAACGTCAGCTCAAGGAAGAAGGTGCTCCTGGCAAACTGAAGGACCTTCCGTTTCGAAAGATTCCCTTTGTCCCCTGGAAGGCCAACAGTGTGGCTCCTTGGGAAAAGGAAACCCCCCAGAGAACCAAATATTCTATTAGCTGAACCTCCAGCAAGGCAAACAGCAATGTGTTAAATAAAACGCTCTCCTTCTCTGAGTGCGTATGGTGGGGAGAAGGCAAACCATCTTTCCTTGGAAGGGCCTTCTGGAATTGCCTTTGCTTTTGTGAATCTGGGCTCGGGCTGGGGCGGAGGTAACTAAAGCAGTTGTTGTCCTCAGCTTTTCTGCATGGAGCTTTCCTGGAATAAAGCTGTGTGCACGCCGATGAAAGCAACTGCAAAGGCATTCAATGCAGGCAGTTTAAAACACAGGCTGCGTGGCTTTGCAACAGCCCGACCCATCCCAGCCTCACGTGCCAACCTTTCGGTCACCCCGTTGCTGGCGGAACAGGAGTGCGGACGAGAACATCACTGCGTGTGGGGCGTCCGAAGACCACCTTCTCTGCTGGCTGGGGCCAAAGCGGCAATAACTGTAGTCACTCTTTTACTGCCTAAAGGTTCTATGTAAGCAAACGCAAGCCATGGGCCTTGAAAGGGGAATTGTTTTCTCAGCCTCTTCCCCAGAACCGCCCTGAACCACTTATTATTATGCTTTTCCGCCCAGATTTCACAGGTTTGGGTAGTTGGGTCCTTGCTGTTCACCAGTTGGCACGAGGGAAGTGCCCTTTTTGCCTTGTAGTGTGGTCTCTCCGATGACAGTTTTGGTAGCAAGGTAGAAAATGAACATGTAGTAACAAATAATAAAAGCACATCTCTCGAGTTCATTTGCAGCCTAAGGATGAGCTTATGAAAGGTTAAACTGCCAAGTTCATGGCAATGCATGTGATGCCTGGACCCCGTCCAATGTACCTGGAGCAGCTGTCAGCCTAATTAAGCCAGATGTGCCTTCAATGTAAACGGACCTCCCAAGAGGAATAAGAACAGATTTCAGGTTCTAGCAAAGGACAAAACGGGGGGAGGGGGGGGAGGTAAGGATGTAGGAGAGGCGGGGCTACAGCCAAAGAACATTCCTCGTGTGATGTCATTCTTACCTGGCAGGGTCCCAGCTTGTAAGTGTCACCTTGATTGAACTCAATTGAAACAGTCCTACAGGAGGCTCAGAAAAGCGACTTAAGTGAAGTCTGAGTTCATTTTCATATTCAATCAAATGAAGATATTTGCTAAACTCTTTCATTTTTTGACACGTGCTCGCATACGTGCACATGCGTGCACACACACACAACCTCAGCCTGCCTTTAGAGCCTCAGTTATTTTTAAAAAATGACATTTAAGCTGTGCCAACTTTGACAGCCCTTCAAGTAAGTGTGCAAAGCAGAAGCCAAGAAAGGACATCAACAGACCGCCAACTTTCTCAGGTTCTGTGATTCCCAGATCAGGAGGCACATCAGGCAGGCTTTCTGCAACCCTATTACTATTTAAAGCAAACATTCTGTAAACCATGAAGTGTAAGGTACAAATAGTGGGTGTTACGTAAAAAAGAAAAAAAACACTCTAGCTTCCAGGCAGTTTTTTCCATTCATGCTGTAAAGCGTCGTATCTCCAAAACAGAAGTGTTTGAGCAGCAGACCTTTAAGCTCAGCCAGGAAAACGCTGCTCAGAAAATTTTCCTTCGTGTTGCTGCCTTTAGTAACTACATCGATGAAACCAGCTCTCAGTTGCTACGTCTCGAAGAAAACGATGAGAAACACCCAGAGCCTTTTGGGCACTTGATGGCTGCGTCATAATTCATTTACAGAAAAACTTCATTGACTTGTATTCAGCGACGTGAAGTACAATTTATTTAGCAAACACATATGCAGCATTTACTCCGTACCAGGCACAGCTTTAAACACTTTATAAATGATAACTTATTTAATGCTTATAGCAATCCTATGTTTTAGGTACCCTTATTTGTACCATTTTACAGGTAAAGAAACAGAGGCACAGAAAGGTTAAGTGACTTACCAAGGCCACACAGCTACACTCTGAATATATAGAAATATGGGTGGTCGAGGAGGGTCTTCTCTTGTGAGAAGAACTAGAAGAAAGGATGTGATGAGAATCCTACTGGAATAGAATAAACTCAACCACAAATGGCAAACTTGCATCTCCGTGGGTGGACTGGACGGTGCCCTCAAGCTGATTTGGAGACAATCAATGAGATTAATGGGAAACAGTTATGTGGTGAAACAGGAGGATCAAAATTCAAGGCTCAATCTTAAATCATGCTCCGATGAAGTGGGCATTATTTAATGTATTCATCTCAACTTTGAGGTTTAAACTGGTCCCAATTGACAGAGTTAGTGATTGAGAACATCCTCTCCCTCCCTCCCTCCCTTTCTTTCCCCTTTCCTTCCTTCCTTTCTTCCTTCCTTCCTTCCTTCAAGTGCCGGACACTGCTAATTCTGGAACTATAAGGATGATCAGACACACTACAGCCCACAAAGAACACAGAACCCGTGTAGTGGGTTGAATAGTGTCTCCACCAAATGTGACCTTATGTGAGAAATAGGATTTTTGCAGATATAATTAGTTAAGATGAGGTCATACTGGATTAAGTGGTCCTCAGTTCAGTAACTGGTGTCCTTCTGGAAGAGATGCACTGAGACAGAGACATGCGGGGAAGAGGGCCACGTGACAGTGGAGGGATGCAGCTACAAGCCGAGGATCTGCAACCCAAGAGCATGGAACAGATCCTCCCTAGGACCCCCTTGGGGAAGGGGACCCTGCCAACACCCTGCTTTCAGACTCTGGCCTCCAGCACCGTGAGAGAATACATTTCTGTGGTTTTAAGCCACCTAATTTGTGGTACTTACTTACGGCAGCCCCGAGACACTAACATAGATTCTGGTACCAGGAAGTAGGATGCTGCTGTAGCAAACAGCTAAAAATGTGGAATTGGTCTTGGGATTGGGTAATGGGTAGAGGCTGGAAGGGTTTTGAGGTGCAGGGTAGAGAGAAACATAGATTGCCCTAAAGAGACCACTGGG